TCTTTTTCCCGTTTTACTTGACAGATGATACGCTATAATTTTGCTCATCATTTCTCTGCCTGAGAAAAATGGAAGAGAAAACCATTGAGTGGATGACCTTTCTGCATGCAAACATATTTACTCCAAGTTTCAGTGAAAACAGGAATCCTCTTGTCCTTCGCTTGTGCTACTGTCAAGGAAGACTGTTACTTGCTAATTGTATGAATTGATCACAGCAGTAAGGTACAAGCCTGGAATTTTTTGGCTTGGTCCAAATTTGTCATTGGTGGGATTGATTGGGAAAACACCTAGAGGCTACTTCTGGAAGACACTCCAGGCAAATCAATATAACAAACCAGGAGTGTGTGTGATTGGGTACAATAAAAAGAAGGACAAGGACATCATCTGTTGTGCATAAATCAGATATTCAGCACCCCCCTCCAGCAACTATCTATTCAATGCATCTCTCTGTAATAGAAATATGATAATTCACTAGCTTCATTTCCATCTATGCTAACTGACAGTAACATAATATTTTTTTCAAAAATGTAAATACTTTCTTAAGAATTTTGCCCAATAATTCATGGTCACAAGAAAAGCAATATCTAACTTTAGATAACATTTGCTACAGTAGAAATTTCACAGAGTATCCCGAATCATCATCACTGAAAAACTGAGTGCTAGTTTTCAACCTCCAAAAGCAGCTTTATGGTATAAAAATGATAATCCTGTTTTTTTAATCAATATTTTTACAGACGATCTAGTGTCTTTGGGCTAATGCCTGATTCTCAGCTGTCTCGAACAAAATTTTAATATTCATTTCAGTGGCAAAAATTAAAATTTCCAAAATTTATCATCCATTTTACTACTTTCCTATTTAAAGCATCACCTTAAAAATATTCAGAAAGTATGAAGAGGAAATTAGTTAGCAAAATTAAGATGAGTCCACATTGGCACATCATTATGATTTGTAAGAATTTCCCCTGGTATCAGGTACAAGTAGTCTCTGACTTATGACCAAAATTAAGCACAAGATTTCTGTTGCTAAATGAGACATTTGTTAAGTGAATTGTGCCCCACTTTACGATTTTTCTTGCCACTATTGTTAAATGAATCACTGTAGTTATTAAGTTATTAACATGGTTGTTAAGTGAATCTGACTTCCTCATTGACTTTGTTTGTCAAAAGGTCGCAAAAGGTGATCCCATGACCTTAGGGCACTGCAACCATCCTGAGTCAGTTGCCAAGTGTCTGAATTTTGATCACGTGACCATGGAGATGCTGCAACAGTTGTAAGTGTGAAAAATAGTCATAAGTCATTTTTTTCAATACAGTTTTAACTTTGAATGGTCACTAAATGAACAGTTGTAAGTCAAAGATGACCTGTATGTCTATTTCATTCTGTGTTTCTGGTCTAAATGGCTTTATTAAAATCAGGATATATCTGCTAAGTGAGACCAGTTAGGCTAGTTAAAGACCTAATAACTAGGTTTATATAACATATTAAACGCAGGCCAACAAAACACAGTGGCTGTGTTTACAATGGCTGCCATGTTCAAGCAGCCAAACATGTAGTGGTTTAGTATCATGGTTTGGCCCTTACCACACAGTACAACAATGGCTAGTTTTCTACACCAAACTACAAACTCCCCACTTCATTTTACCTTAGTTTAGCATGTTGCTCAAATACAGACAACGTATCATTCCAATCTCAATAATCCACTCACTCCCAGGTACTGACCATGGTGATCCTACACAAGCCCATACTCCTACAATACCCAAGGTTCATTTACCTCAGCGTGATCATTACATGTCATCCAAATTATGTTATTTACCTAGGAATAGTAACAGATGTAGCAATGGATCTAATTGTATCAAATCTAGCAGCATCAGAGAACTGCAGGGCCATCAGAAAGTGATCTGACAGGGAAGAAACAGAAACCTTCCCCAATTCTAGATCACGCTCCCACTGGTCTACCACAAAACCTGGATCAGGCAAAATACCACTTAAGGCCCTGGAAGACCTGGGACAAACCATGGCTATCATAGTGGCTTCAGATCCCACACTCAGGGAAGACAAGTTAAAACCCCCGAAGAGCATAAGCCTGGAAAATTCCACTACCAAACCCAGTCACAGAATCAAGGAGCTCAGGCAGGAGATATTGCTTCACAACAGGGCAGCTGGCACAATAGCAACAATCTCAGATGAGCAGTAGAACCCAACTTAATAAATAGGGTCTTGAACCCAGCAATCTGTGGAGCAGCACCTCTGAAGGCCACCCAATATCTTGGATGAGACTCACTGTACCTCCACATCTATCCTGGAGTCTTGGTTAATTCTTGGAAATAGGTCCTTCTGCCCAGGAAAAAAAGTCAAAGATATTAATGAGCATGGCAGAACGCTGATGGAAGTGGCAGTGAAAATATTACTTATTTGCCCTTCAGTAAACTGATACTTTGTGATGAGCCATCTCCATTTGATGGGAGTTCTTGTAGCATATGCTAAAAATTCCAAATCTGCCCACCAAAGTTGAGCAACCTCTGGTTTAGATCAATTTCTCTTGGATCCAGAGTAGAAGGCAGACAGCAAATATTCAGAATCAGAAAATCCTTTATTTATTAAGGATTCTGTCCCTTCACTAGACTGTCACTAAGGCCTTGACTTGTAATCAAGATATGGCATTTGGTTGACTGTGAAAGGCAAGTTGTGACAATAAGGAATAAAAGAACAATTTCTGTTCCATTTTAATATCTCTATTTTCAATTACCATTTCAATGAATACTGAAAATCATTTCAGTTAGTTTGAAAAGACAGGTAAAGAGTAATCTCGGGAATTTAATATGAGACTGACACTTGGGAGGTAGGATTATCCTGATAACACCACTGATTAATTCTTTTTTGGCTTTGGGATCACTTGTGCCTCAGTTCCCTCTTGTACATGACTTTGTACTTGATTGTAAATCACTATGAGTTACTATCTTTAAAGAGCTCTCAGGATGGTAAAGTCTACATGCTTAGTTTTCCAACAAAATGTGTTAATATCACAATCTTTGATTATTTATTCTGAATCCCATGACAGCAGGTGTTGTTTGCAACAACTAATTTATGTTACAGAATAAGTAACATAATAATATGCTCTTCGTGATGCAGTTGCTGTCCTGGCTTCATGTATTTCATTAGGCCATAATGTATTTGCTTAGTTTGGGCAGAGAATGTTGGCAAGGATCTAGCTGCTGCAATCTGTAAGTTATGTCTTAGTGTTACATAACTCTGGCAATATGCACATCTGGTATTTTTTTTAAAAAATCCAGAAAATGTATAAAATTTGGAGTATCTTTTTCTTCAAAACAATTTATATAACTGAATCAACATTTTGCTTTTCAAATATGTACCTCTCAACTGGATATATATTTCAACTACTTCTATCCATGAACTATGAAACCATTCAGAACATTATGTTCATATTACTAAGAACGATATATACAATTTTCTAAAACCAGCCAGCATAAATAAAGTTTACTGATGTGTCCATGAAATAGCCTTTCATCCTATAGACTCCACAGGTCTTTAACAGATGCTCTTTCTATGGAACTGGATTTAACTAGGCTGGAACTGAGTACATCTGCTCTATTTTTCTTACTGCCATCAAAATTGGAGGCTTGCAAAAATAAATCAACAAACCATGTTCAGAAGAAAATGTTGGCAAGCATTGTTTATGTTTCTTGGAAACACAAACAATTCCCAAATAATCAGCAGCATTTCCTGTTTCTGGAAATAATTCAAGATTAGAAACAAAAATCCTTTGTACCAGCAGTCATAGAAAGCACTCAGCAACATTATATTTTCTAGAGCCATATTTCTGACAATAAATTTTAGGTCTTCTGTAACAAAACAGTTGTGAAATGTTAATGATTAACCACAGCCTCAGATCCACAGCAAGCACACAATGAGAAAAATTAAGAAACAACACTTTGCCCAGAAAAAGGGCAGGAAGTATTATTGTTCTTTAGTGCTTCCTCAATGTCTAATTAAATAGAGGCAGCTCACTTTCTCAGAAGAGCTTGTTTGTTTCTCTCTCACACATATATACACATGCAGACCAATAAAGCATAAGAGACACAAACTCAAAAATTGTAAATGATTCTCTGGAAGAGATCTGTAAGTTTCAGATCTTTACCTCCTCTGGTGGTGGTGCTATTTTTAATCCCAGGATGTAGAAGACTGAATCACAACAAAGAGAAAAAACTTGAGTCCTAAAACAATAGAACAGGTATCATATCTCTGACTGTGTTAAATATATTCTTAGTGGGGATTTGCTGGGGACTATTATTATTTCTAATACTGATATTTCTGTTTGAATTTGTCCTTGATGTTATATACATGTACACATAAACACACATACACATACAATATATATAGTGTGCTGAATATCTAAACAACCACTTCATAAACACATGAAAACAGGGAAAGGGAAGCAAATGGATAAAAGTAAATAAATAATGAGCTGAGAATAATCAGAGGCTATTAATTAGAGATCACCATTTCCCGCTATTTCTGAAATATACCATTGTAAAATAGTATACTTAAAATTAGGAGAGCTAAAAGATTTCTCTGACACTCTGATAATGAAGTGTGTTTGTTTTTTGGCTTAGCATAATATGCAAACCTAAACTTTAAGGCTTAATATTATCTGCAAACTACAACACTATGGCTTGTTTAGCAAATCATGCATAACAAACCCTTGACACAGCTTAATATAGTTTTAAGAAAATGCGATACTGCCAAAATATATGTTATTCAGACTACTTAAAAGGATATGGTTAAAAATGAGCACCATTTTTAAAAATCAGGCAGCAATAGGATATCAAATCAAAATTCACTATAAAACTATTATTCTGATAATCAAAAGTTTCAAACATTGGTACTAATGAATACTCTATAGTCTTCTGACAGCATAGTTTTATCCAAATGCTGACATAAAGAAAGTAAACATAATGCCAGAAAAGAAAGCAAATTTTACCTGTCTGAGCTGCTTAACATCACCAAATATCTTCATCACTCCATCAATCTCACGCTCTAGCCTTTGAGCCCAATTCTGCATTCTGCGAAAGAAAGTTTGAAAGGTAGAGTCAGTGAAAAGAATGTGACTAAAATTTAGCATTTACAGCTTAGCTAATATCCTTTCTTCTTATGTTCAGAAGATCCAACATGTTTGCCTCCCATGCAATACAACTACAAGTTTATCAGCTGGTGAAGGTCCAGTACTAGATACATCTTAAGTATACAGAGAGAAAGAGAACTAAAAATAAAAATCAATAAAATACTTACGTTTGAATTACTATTTTTGCTAAAAAAATATTATAGAAGTGGGACTTCAATTCATTTCAATAAAGATATATCTGTTATAAAATAATGCTGATACTATTCATTCTAATTTAAAAAATAGCTGGCTATATCATTTCTCTAAAAAATAGGGAGATGGAGAGAATGGAGGGTTTTTATTATTTTATTTTATTTTATTTTTATTTTGTCACCCATCTCACTGTGAGGTATCTCTTACAACAAGACTGGAGGACTTGTTCAACCTTCTAAAATGTTAGAGGTAAAACACATAAAGGATAGATGCATGCTATGGATGCATGGTTAAAATAGTATATTTGTTTTCCATAGAATTGCAGTATTAAAGTTTACCTCTAGCAACTGATTAATCCTCTATCATACTACCAGCGAAGGCTCTGAAAGTTTAAAAAAAAGAGAGAGAAAAACATATTTTCTTTCCTTTTCAATCCTAAATGTTCCTATCTAAATTTACAGAGGCTGAATCCTTGAACAAGAACATGCCATCTAATGGACAATAATGTATAGCAATCTTTTGCACACATTTGTACATAATTAGGCTTTTATTTATGCAAATTAAGCAGTGTCTTCAGCCTCTTAATGAATGTGTACTTGTGAAGGTTGCAACAAGAAGTTCTACTCCAAAGCAGGACATTCTGGTCCCTCATCTTCTCATTTCCATTCATCTCTTCCCGCTTTTGCAATTCTAGTAACCAGGCTTGCTTGCTTTAGGCAGGATGGGAGTTCCCTTAGGCCTCTTTTTGCTTAAAAAAATCCATATCCCTACAAAACTTAAGAGTTCCATTGAGCTTGGAGCACTTCCTCAATTTAACAGCCATGTTTTGACACCACTTCTGTTGGCACTTATAAGCGGAGTTTATTGTTAGATGGAACAATATTCACTGAGACCAGGAGGGAGCCTGGAGTTCATTAGAATGCAGGAAGCCAAAGGACTGGCTTGTTAAAAAATAAGCTTGAAACTTTTGAACAAATTGTAATATGCTCTAAAGCAGGGGTCCTCAACCTTGGCAACTTTAAGACCTGTGGCCTTCAACTCCCAGAATTCCTCAGCCAGCAAAGCTGGCTGAGGAATTCTGGGAGTTGAAGGCCACAAGTCTTAAAGTTGCCAAGGTTGAAGACCCCTCCTCTAAAGAAATTATCATGTGCAGCATTCCAATTTCAATTTCTTAAACGAAGTGCTATCTATCTATATTTCAACATTTTCTCCTCTTTTTCAAGCATGGCTTGATGCCAGCAGCTTTCTTAAGTCTACTTTAAACATGAGAGAGATCCAGAGCAAAAATGCTGAAAAGTCAATAATAGCTGCCACCTAACACTAAGCATGGGAAGGGCAAAGCAGGTTTTTCATTATGCTATGAAAAGAATGGAAGGAAAATGCAGTTCATAGAAGGGAAGCAATTGTCTGAAATAACTTCAGTCTTAATGTATAATACCCATTCTTTATAGAACATGCTACATCTAACAGCTAGAGCCCCTCAGCCAGTTAAAGGAGGCATCTGACAGTCACAATCTACTGGTCTCCAAACAGGGTTATGCTATGCCCTTGTTGGATTTGGGGGGATATTTGAAACTCTTGCTAATGCAGACAAAGTCTCCGGGTGTCCTGCAGTGACAATGTGCCATGTGACCAATCTCCCCTCTCAGCAACAACTACTAGCAGCATGAGGAACGTATTCCCTCTCTGCCTTCACTTTTCCTTCTGTTCGCAAGCCCAGGTTCAGCAAGAAAAAGACAGAGGCAGCTTGAGTATTGGGGCCAAGCTGCCTGGCTGCTACAACAAGTAGCAGGGAAGTCAAAAACACTTCTCAGTTTCCATGCCATGCATATGAGGGAGCGGTGGGATTCAGCCGGTTCGCACCTCTTCAGCAGAACCGGTAGCTAATTTTTTGTTGCCCAGGCCCAGAATGGACTTCTGGAAGCGGCATCCACACAGCGAACCCGGTTGTTCACATATTTGAATCCCACCACTGATATGAGGGTTTGTATAGCAGCAGTCTAGAGAGAAGCTGATAGCAAAAGTGCTGCTCCCCCTGCCTCTGGTGATCATTTGATTGGTTGGGGGAAAGTTAAGCAGAAACTGGGGCTGCAGGATATTGAAATTAACAGCCCCTCACAAGGCCCTGAAAATGTCTTTGCAGAGAACAGCCAAATCCACTCAGGTCAACCAAGATCTCTCAGGAAGAAACTTAGTTGGGGAAGTGCAAACCCAGCATCTATTCCATCACAAATCACATAATTCTTCCTGGTGAAAGAGCAGAGTCTCAACTCCCCATGTACAGATTGGAAAACTGTATTTCATTTGTGCTTATTGCAGGTTGCTTTTATTCTCACTTATTTAAATACAACTTCTCAGCTCCTTTCCAGGTAACATTATCTCAAGTTTAAACTAGCCATTTCTCTGAAGTAATAATACTAAGAAGTACAATGGAAGAGAATGTATTGCCCTAGACAACAGTGTTCCCATGACACTTCTTTTGGTGCCTACTAGCTTTTTACCCCATCTGACTATTTTTTTAAAATCAATGTGAAGCTGACATTCTTCAACAGCACCCAGCATGCTTGTTTCCCCAGAAAAGTCATATCAGTATTTTGAGCCAGATGATAGGCTGAAGACTAGAGGCTCATTTGTCCAACTAAACCGATGACCCTGTCCATCGAAACAGAAAAAGACAAATGTAAATTATAGTGTGATAGAGAAATTGTGGAGCAATAGCAGATAGCAATTGCATCAACTTGCCTTCTGTTAAATAGGTTTATACAATGTGAAGCACCCATCATGGAAAGCATCTTGTAAACAAGAAAATCTTTTGCCATAATAGCCATTTTGTGAATGCATCCATTGCATGCTGAAAAATTAGAAATGCGCCCTTAGCTCTAAAATGTTTGTTATGCTTGACATTTGTTGAGCTCTTTTTCAGGCTACCTTTTCATGAAGGCATATTCGTATGTTTCAATTTTATGTTTATATTTCACCATAAAAATATATACTAATCACTTCTGGTATGTCTGAGAGCCACATATGTTGAATGACAAGCAGGAATAGCATAATTTTATTGTTTTTTCTAAAGTAACTCCTTAAACAAAATGGGTATTTCCATAGTTCAGAAACATACATTCATAAAATCTATAAACTATTCTCAAAAGAAAGAAAAATTAAAGGATTCTTTATAATAATGTAAGATCTAAAAACACATTTTTTTAAAAAAAGCAAGAGATAATAAAAATAATAAATCAATAAATCTAAGATCTGCTCCACTTTCTGTCATTATCTAAAAATGTACCCAACTCAACTACAGTTCAACACTGAGCTAGCATATACCAGTTGCTCAAGTAACATACATTCATGCAAAGGAACAATGGCCTGTTAACATTTTTGTGCTTTCCTATAACATTTTAAAATACATAATATCTGCTTTGGCTGCCATTTGTAAAATCATATAGAAATATATATAATGTGCCATGCTAGTCCTTATGTCTGCTTTATATACAATAAAATATAAAATTTTTGGCTGTTAGGTAAAGAATAAGATAGAAATGAGTATGAGTAAAAAAAGAACAATCCATAGTTTCCCTAAGACGTGGAGAAAAAAGACTTCACACTTCCAGGGAAGAAATGATGGACTGAAGACAGCTCCATGAAAAGTGGAGCCAATGATTGTACAGAATGAAGAAGTGGAACCAGATCAGTTCTTTCATAATTCCCCTAACCAGGAAAGAACCTCAGATCATCCACAAGTGCTCCAGATAGTTGCTCCTCATAAGAAGACCACAAGATAGCAGTCTCTGGTGGGTTTAAAGGCAGGAGATGACAAAATAACCATCTTGCTCAAACTGCAGTTAGTGCATTTGAAAGGACATTGTGTTCGCAGACTTCTTTTCTAATCACTTTCAGAAATTGCTTCTTGACTGCTTTTCAGCTATCAAGGAACTTTGGGTCACCAAATTTTTACGACATTTTCCTTCAACCCACAGTGAAAGAAGTTTTTAATATAAGTTTTAGAACTTTAAAAAATATTTTTGAATAAAGCAGAAAAGGTGATTAAAACTGATTTTAGAAAGTTACAAGCAGACTAGGGGTCCACCTAATTTGAAATAAGAGTTAGGAATTAATTATGAAGAATCCTTCCCATGAAAACATGCTTTTATTTTGAATTCTAAAAAAAATAAGATTTTAAAGGTTGGGCACTAGAGGGAACAAGATGAGCAACATTAACAGAATCTTGCAAGTTGTTGTGATTCCGTGCCAGCCTGTGTTCCCAACAGCTGAGTCTGAGGAATCTGAGGAGGAGGAGGAGGAGGCCGTTGAGGGACCATCAGGGTCAGAGGGAGGCTCTGATGAATTACAAGACTCACAGCTTGATGAAGAGCCTGGCCCCTCCAGTCGTGTTTCTGATGAAGCTCAGCTGTGTGAGGAGCAGGAGTCAGATTCGGAAGGCTCACACCTGNTGGTCTGTTCGTCTTGTTTGCAACGTGTTCCTGTGGACTATTTCCTTCCTTTGGACTTGAGTTTTGCTGTTTGTGTTTTGGACTTATTGACAGGTTTGTCACCCAAATAAAAGGGATTTTGTTTTGTTTTAAAGTTTCCAGCCTATTGTATCAGCAGGGGTTTTGTCCTTGTGCCTCTAACAAGGACAGCAATAGGCTGGGATAGAACACAAGTTTGAAAGTACAATCCCTGCCATCTCTTTTTACCATCTGATAAATTAGAGCGCATTCTTTCTAAATTTCTTTCTTTGTCCAATA